GAGAGAGAGAGAGAGAGAGAGAGAGAGAGAGAGAGAGAGAGAGAGAGAGAGAGATGGACACACACAGGAAGCAGCAGCTGAGTGAAGGTCCAGTGCGGCAATGAACGAAGGAACGAACAGAATGAATGCACCTCCCGCCCAGGGCCTAGACCGAAGTGATATACCGGCCTAGGTCCAGGTACGGGATAACTTGGTACCGGACCAGGGTCAGGCCGACGGCCTGAAACTGGTCCGGCCTCACTGCCGGGCCGTAGGGGTACTGCTACACGATCCTCGGACCTGTGAATGGATCAAGCGATACATCAAACACGCTATCCGCTGAAATAGCGGAAACCCAAAAGGAACGGCAAAAGGAGCAAACCTAAATGCGGAGCACGCTCCATGCATGAAAAGGGATGCAATGCAGACCAAGCCTCAAGCCTAATCTATACCATAATGTCTGGTCTGTGTCGACCCAAAAAGTAGAAAAATGTCTGACCTGTGTTGGCCAAGAAAGAGAAAAATGTATGACCTGTGTCGGCCAAGAAAAAGAAAAATGCCTGACCTGTGTCGGCCAAGAAAGAGAAAAATGTCTCCTCAGTCAAAGAGGCTGAATATAAATCAACACCAGGGCCCTAAAGGCCAAAGAATAACTAAACCGATGTCCTAAGTCGAAAACCAATGTGACAAAGTCTCACGTGCCCTGTACACAATGTACAATACTTGAAGAAAAGAGAAAGGGGACTCAGTCGCATGGCAAAAGTAGGAATGGGTGGGAAGGCGGCAGGTACAGCTCTTAGAGTAAACTCCAAGGGGGCACCCACACAACCAGGTAAGGGGTCATCAGGCTTAGAGGGGGAGTAACAGCACGACACCGGGCTCAATGGAAACCATCAAACGGGTACCGCAAGCTGAAAGGGGGGAAAAACACTCACACAAGGGAGCACACATAAGGTGAGCCTGGGAGGAGAGAGGGTTATGCCGGCATAGACATGTGGCCAGAAGCCGCAAGCAAAGAAAACGTACACTCCAGAGGAGGGTGCGCAGCATAAGGTAAGGCAGAAGGGCGGCGAGCGGACACACCCACATAGACAGGGAAAATAGGGGTCATCATGCGTCTGAAGGGTAAGCTCGAGGGTGGTGGATAGGTGGGAATGATGGGAACTCCGTAGCCGAAAAAGTGAAGTAGTCCAACTGATGAGTGTCGAGACTGAAGTCGGACCGAAGTAGCCTGGATGAAGTAGGAGTACCGCAAGAACCGAGTAGAAGTCCGGAACAATGCGACAGGTAATCTGGTACAAAAGAACGACACTGAGGTCGAAAGTCGAATGCAGAAGCCGAATGTAGAAGCCGAAGTAGGAGCCGAATGTAGAAGCCGAAACCGGGAGCTGCTGCATACGTGTCCAGGAATGGTAAGAGACAAAGAGGGTAAAAGGGATAGAGATCAGTCAAGATAACGAGAAGGAAGTCGATGGGTACGCTGAGGGCGAGAGGAATGAACTGCAACAACAGGCGGAACCACATCCACAGGGGAAAGAGGGCCTGAGGCGGGTACCGGTGGAGCAGGAGGACCCATCGATGGAGGGGGGGGAATATTAGTGGTCGCAGAGGTAGAAGGGTCAGTAGTAGGAGAACGAGAAGTAGGAGGGGAAGATGATGAAGGAAAAGGATGAGCACGATCGTAAGCACGTACGAAAGTCATAGCATGCTTCAGGTGCTCAAGAGGCTCCCAAGTAGACTCCTCGTCAGGATAACCCTTCCATCGAACGAGATACTCGAGGCCGGGAGGGTCACCATCAGTCATACGCCGGGACGCAATATCAGAGACGACAAACTCCTCGTGACCCTCAATGATGACGGGAGAGGGGCGAGGGTAAGGTCGACCATGGAACTCAGGGGGAGACCGTCTGAAGGGGCGCAAAAGAGATACATGGAACACAGCATGTAAGTTAGCGCGGTACATGAAATCGGGGAGCTTCAATTTGAAGCTCACTGGACAGTCATGATCCGGTCCGGCAGGTGCAAGAATGGTGCATGGTCCAATGTATCGACGTCTGAATTTCCGAAGTGTGTCAGCTTCGGGCTGGAAGTGACGTGCGTCGATAAGAACCTCGTCGCCAACTTTGAAGGGATGGTCGATGCGAGAGCGGTTAGCGCGAGTGGCCATGCGAGTCTGGGAGTTAGCAATGCTCTCGCGAGCCTTGCTAAGGAGCGCATCCATCTCCTTTACCCAGTCATCGAGGGCAGGGCATTTGGTGTCGGGATGGATCTGAGATGGACGAAGAAGGTCAGATGGGACACGGGGATGGTATCCCAAGTCACAGTAATAGGGAGACATGCCAGTAGCAGGAGAAATAGCATGGTTATAAGCAATCTCTGTGTGAGCAAGATGCAGATCCCAATCAGAGTCATTCTCAACAAACTTCTTGAGGATACTCCCAAGAGTTTTGTTGGTGACCTCGGTCTGTCCATCTAACTGGGGGTGATAGGAGGAGGAGAGGCGGAGCTCGGAGCCATAGATCTCATGGAGTCCACGCCAGAAATGGGAAGTGAAGCGGGGATCCCGATCAGAGACGATGCTAGTGGGGAGACCGTGATGGATGGCAATACGGTTGAAGTATAGGGAGGCAATGTCTTTGGTTGAACTAGCATACTTGCAAGGGAGAAAGTGAGCATGCTTAGTCAACCGACAGACAACGACGAAGATGGCATCGTGGCCTCGTGGGGTAGGGGGACGAAGAGGACCAATGAAGTCCATGGAGACAGAAGTCCAACGCTGAGTAGGAATGGGTAAGGGCTGAAGAAGACCATAGGGGGGGTGGTTGGGAATGTTGGCCTCCTGGCAGATCTTGCAGGTGCGAACGTACTCCTTAGTGAAAGGACGGCGGTGCTCCCAGTAGTAATGGCGGTAGAGGCGGTCAAGTGTCTTGAAGACACCGAGATGACCGGCGGCACGCTGGTCGTGACACTCCGCGACAGTCCGAACGTGGAGCTGGCCAGTAGAAGGCACACATAAGCGAGGAGTACGGGTACCTTGGTGACCAAGCCAGTATAGGAGTCCAGAGGGATCAAGCTGGAAGTTAGGGACGGACTTGCCAGCCTGTAGGTCAGCGTAGATGGACTGAAACTCAGGGCACTGGGTGTATGCGCGGCGATACTCATCCAGAAAGGCGGGGTGGATGGTGGGAGCTGAGATAGCAGATAGCTGACGATCCTCGCACTGAAGGTCGGGGCGGCGGGATAAGGCATCTGCAACCCGATTGCTTTCGCTAGAAATCTTCTTGATGGTGAAGTCGAACTCCGAGAGGTCACGCCACCAACGAGCCTGGCGAGAAGTGAGCTTAGGCTTCGTCTGGAAGGCGGCGAGGACAAAGTTGTCCGTCAAAACGGTGAAAGTATGATCGTGCAAATGATGACGCCACTTCTTAATAGCGTAGACCAGCGCAAGGACCTCACGCTCATCGGCAGTGTAGTTACGCTCAGCGGGAAGTAGCTGTCGAGATAGATAAGCAACCGGACACTCTCCATCGCGACACTCGACTGTACCGTCATCAGCGACGTCAGGAATATAAGGGGGTGGGGCCCCTGGGGGGGTGGGCTCAATGGGTGCAAGATGAGCCGCAGTCGCTGGAGGTGGAGGAGGGAAGCGAGGAATGCGAGGGAGGCGAGACTCTGTGGAATCGGGAGAAGTAGAGGGGGCTGGATAAATCTGGGAGAGAACAGCTCCAATAGCGAAGTCAAATGCGTCGGTGGTGACGATGAATGGACGCGAGTAGTCGGGTAAGTGTAAGACAGGAGCTGACGTAACAAGCCACTTGAGAGAGTGGAAAGCATCCCCGTGAGCCGCGGTCCAATGAAAAGGTAGACGTCCGCGGGTTAGGGGGGTAAGCTGGGAAGAATACTGCGCATAGTTTTTAAGAAAATGACCATAGTAGTTGGTCAACCCAAGGAAACTACGCACCGCAGGAAGAGAGGTAGGAGTGGGCCAGTCGACAATGGCCTGAATCTTCGAGTCGTCCATGTGGAGTCCGTGCTCGGAGACCTGATGCCCAAGGAAGTCGACTTTGGGTTGAGCGAAGTGGCATTTGGAGAGCTTCGCATAAAACCCGTGGTCGCGTAATCATTGGAAAACAGTGCGAAGGTGGGTCAGATGCTCCTCTAAGGTACGACTGTAGACCAGGATGTCGTCAATGTAGACTAGAACCGAGTCCTCAAGAAGGTCTTGGAACATCGTGTTCATAGCCGTTTGGAAGGTGGCAGGAGCATTACGGAGACCGAAAGGCATGACGGTAAACTCGTAGTGCCCAAAATGAGAACGGAAAGCGGTCTTAGGCTGGTCCTCCTCGGCTACGCGGATCTGGTGATCTCCGCTACGAAGATCGATCTTCGTGAAAAAGTGGTGGCCGGAGAGGCGGTCGAACAAATCATCCGCACAGGGGCATAGGGTAACTGTTTCTGACCGTATACTCGTTGAGACCGCGGTAATCGAGGCAGAGGCGGAGAGTGCCATCCTTCTTGCGATTGAAGAGGACAGGTGCACTCCATGGGGATGTACTCGGCTTAATGAAGCCCTGACGAAGCAGCTCGTCAATTTGGCGTTTAAGTTCCTGGGCTTCGGGGACCGAGAGGCGATATGGGGCGCGGTGTTGAATACGGTAGTTAGGTTCGAGCCGGATGTGGTGCTTGATATCGCGCATAGGAGGAATGCTGCTATAAGAGACAGTCGGAGGAAAAACATCTCGATACTCGCGAAGGAGGGCCGCAACGCTAGGCTGCAAAGTCGATAGAAGGTTGTCAAACTCCTCGGCTGCAGCGGCGTCTGAAGTAGGGGTGGAAGGAGTCGGTATGGGAATAGGTACCGATGGCGCCTCCATGGAACAGGATGCAAGAAGGTGAGATGAGGTAGCAGGGGTGAAGGGGATTGAGGGGGCTGAAGGATCAGGAGGCTCCGGGGGCTCAGGGAGTGGTGGGTCGAGCTCGACCAACTCAGCGTCCTGATGCATAGAGTTACACACAAGGAGATCCGTGATGTCGACAATGTAGAGTTCGGCATCAGGCTGACGGAGGATGTGGTGGAACTGAGTTGGTGTCAAGATGGCAACATTGACAGGAGAGGGGGATGTAGAATCCGATTTGCCCAACAACGGAATACGGTATTGCTTCCCATCCTTGGCGTCGAGGACGAGGTCGTTGTGGATCCAATCGGGGCCAGCATGGGCAAACTGATGGGAGTAGGCAGTGCTGAGAACAAGATCATATAGGGTTTCCATGACGTCGAAGGTCCACTGGTCATGGAACCGAGGAGCCTTGCGAAGGCTGTAGGGCATCCGCAAGGGGAAGGAGAATGGAAGATCAGGCACCACTGGATCGACGAATGATTTGGCCTGATTGTTGCCAAGCGTGACAGTGACAGTGGAAAGGTAATCGGATGTATAGAGAGATGCCTCCTTAACTACGCGAGGATGAATGAAGTCGCCAGTAGAGCCAGAGTCCCATAGTGCGCGATACACTCTAGTAGAGGTCCCAAGGCGCACCAAAATAATTGGTAAGCTGCGATCAGGATTGTGTGGGCGCTGAGACATCGCAGACAGGGTGTGCTCTTTAAGGCGGAGACGTTCCTGGTGGACCTTAACACACTCAAGGTCAAGGAAGTCAATGATATCCTCGACTGCAATGAGGGAAGCACTGCAGCGCGCCGTGCGAAGAGCACGCCTAGTAGGAGGACGAGGCGGAGGAGGATCATGAGAGACGCTAGGTGAAGAAGTRGRGGCACTGGGGAGTGGGTCAAYGACGCTAGAAGYGACCRAYGGTGAAGTCAGGTCTGAGTCCTCAGAAAGAGTAGCAAGCGACGCGAAGGTAGAATCGCGGGCGGGTATGCCTGCTACTGTGGGAGGATCAGCGGGGCAGGAGATCGTCGCTAGGTGGCTGCGGAGCTGGAGGTCGAGACGGGGGGGTCAGGCTGAGGGCGGGACTGCTGAGCAAAGTGACGCTGGAGGGCGTCGGCGTAGGGGCAGGTGGACGGAGTGTTACCAGGTAGGCGACAACGGGTACATATACCTCGTGCCCGGAAGTCCTCACTCTCCGCGATAGTCAATCGAGCGCGGGGGAAGGCGTAGCCCGATG